GAAATAGGGTAAATACATCTCATTACACTGAGTTACTGGTAGTCTCGAAACCCTACTTTAATACGAATAATCTAATTATTGTTGAGCTTACTTCCATTTCGAGTCTTTGAACCCCTATGACCCGAGCCAGACACTGGGCTTTATTGAGCACTCTGGTTTAGGGCGTTAAAGTGCACAGATTTTAGTAAAAGTATCATACCATATCATACCAAAAGTACCATACCAAAATAAATTGGCCAAATCACTCTATAATTATCTACTTCAATACATCCTCGGGTTGTTTTTAGTTATGAGCATATACAAGCAGTAAGATAGAGCCAGACAGTCTTCTTGACCTCGTGTTACCTCGAGACGGTTACAAGCTCGAGTTCCAGCTCTACTGCAGCCAAACGGCTGTGGTAGAACGCCGATCAGCTGCCGTCTTCCAAACGCGATTGACCTTCGAATCACTTCTTCATGTGTTTTCATACGCCATACAGCTTTCCCCAACAATGCCATTTCAACGGATCAATCGAAACCCAGTTACCCTTCGTATCTACAATGTATGTTTGCTTATGTGTTTGACTGAGCAGGTCGAGATGCTATGAACGAAAGGGTATGACGACACGATGCAATGTGGCGAAGTGGTGCCGACTCGCTTTGCCCACTTGGTCATAATGTCAGAGGCACCACGAAGAACACATTCCACACTTCGGCCTCCTCCTCTTTTCAACATTTGACCGGTAACTTGGTGGCACATTCCAAAACATTTCACAGACACGGAAGCAGGTTGCATCATTCTGAACAAGTCACGAGGATAAAATCGAGCGGCCAAACTAATTTGAACCTCTTTTTCTGATTATGCAGGCCCTTGGTTCAAGTCCAGTTAAGGACCAATGCGAGTTCGCCACTGGACGAGGACCTTTTTCGGGTGGACATGACAGAACCAGAGTTCTACAGCAGTTGCGACTCAGCGTTGCGCTCCAAGTTCTGCCCCAAAACACATAACCGGCCAATTCTCTTTACCACCGCCGGCCAGCCGGAACGCTGTTGAGACCTGCTCACGAAAACGTTCAAACATGCTGCCTGACAAGCTCCACACTCTGCTCGACTCCCTGGATCCTATTTCACATTTGAGTTTGTCTCGAAGGTATCAGTGCTACTTGAATATGAACTGTAGCTGGTTCAAGGTGGTTTCAAGGTTGACAGTGGAGTTGTTCCCACAATGAACCGAGTAGGTCGCCCGATGCAATGACATTTCACTCGTCCTGTCATCCGAAACGGCTTCTCATCCCGACCGGACTGGGTGGCAGTTTCCGCGTCGCTTTAACGTCTCATCATCACCGCCGCCAGATGGATTGGAAAGTGGTTTGTGTGAGTCGTGGAGACACGTTGACAATCGGCTACATACCCACGGCTGCTTGTGGCTCACATACTCGCACACACAATTGCAAGTTTTGCTTGCTCGATAATACCACAAAAGAGTTGCCATATAAGACCTGCCGTAATAGTCGAGTGGTGAGGAGCGGCCTCGAGTCCCACCGATGGGGCCAGGTCAACAGTGTCGGGATAGCGAAACCCTTCGGGAGGTGGGGTTGAGTGAAAAATTAATGGCATCGCAAGGCCTACTTATATCATCATGAAAAGAACTCAACAATGGGTCCTTGAATCGTGTCAATATTTCGTTTGACGCGGCGAATGGAACTGCTTCGAAAGAGGATTGTAGCATAGATTTGTGCAATACTGCGACCCCGATGACGTCCGCGATGATGAAACTAGAGAGGTCTCGGGGACTTGAAGGTCGCATAAGAGCCAAACGACTGCAGTACGACGCGATTCGGCCGTCCTCTTCTGGTCAGATCTACCTTCCAATCGCTTCTTCACACACTTTCATACAAAATGAAAGTCCTACTAACAAGAACTGTTGTCTGTCCACGCGTTTCACAAATCGTGAAGCACCAAATCGGGAAAAATGGCCGATTTACCGGCAGATAGGATTGCTGCCAGCCAGCTTTGTTCCATAATCGTAATTAATTGTACCACACTTCGGCAAAGTCTATCCAAAGCCAGACGAAAGCGCAGCACATTTTCATCAATGCCGCGGGATAGTGTCCTGCTGACGTGTCCGCAAAAATCTACAGTCAAACCTACGAGGTTAGCCTCCTTCGGGTAGTAGGGAGGCCAAGTTCCGAATACCTTTCGCCAAAAGGTATATATGAAGGAAAGCTGGATTTTGAAGAATTCTTCAGTAATTTAATGTGATTCGACCGTTCGTTTCGAAGGAACTGGTGAATTGGCCTCCCCGGTTGTACGAAGCAGTCCACGACTCACCGTCCGGCC